CTATTTGCACACCTAATTAATCCACTTTATTGCGAATGCTCTGCACATCAAGGCAAGGCCTTAGTCTTGTTAAGATTCTTGATGCTTGTGCACTATGGCCTGTTTGACTCTTGCCCTGGAATAGTCTACATGTCACTTATTTCCTTTAAATTTGGTTTTTGCCCTTGTTTCCTTCTCATCTGTCTCCCTGCCATTTTAGTTTAAACCCTCTCCACCACACTAGAAGGTACTCCAAGAATATCCATTCTTGTCCTGCCTGATAAAATAAATAGTATGAATAGTTACACAACCTTATCCATTGAATCAGCTGTTTCCTCTTGCCTAGTGTCACTTTTGACACCCTTCCCAGACTGTTTCACTGTGGGACACTTCCTGTAATTATCCACGAATTAATCAACTTAATCCTCATTTGTGAGGACCATAGTATCATTATTGAAATTCAAGTCTACATCCTTGGGCTCATTTAACATTGCTGGCCCATTCAGTGTACCACTGAAGGACGTCAGACACTGAAGCATAAAATGGTAATCTAGACCGAATGTTTGAATCTGTATTGATTGAACTGATGAACTAACCAATTTGTACAGTTGATTTAAAGACCTCACATATTCTCAAACAGATGCTGCAACCATAGGATCTCATGACCCAGATCTCAATTGTCTTTGTTGGGATCCATGAGAAACATCCCTTCGGGTGGGATGACTCCTAGCCTCCCAACCCTTGCATACTTTCCACAAGTAGTTGGCATATTTGCTGTATTTGAATCTGCAGCTGCATTTAAGATTTGCTCATATGCCTCAATGGGATTCAAACTGCACCTAAATTTAACTTTGTTGGAGCAGTCAAATGAGCTCCCATCCCTTGATGTGGGAGTTAAAATCTGCCAGGGGGTTCTTGACTACTGCAAATCTACCTTCACTGGCAACACAGAAGTTGGAATTCTTACAGTTCCACATGTTAAGATTAGTCTTAATGGCAACCTTGTGAACAGAACATGAGTCGCTTGCTCAGCACAAGCTCAAATAGGGTGCATCAAAAACATCCCTGTAAGATGATGTCCATCCTGATCAGATTGTTTCCTCTATATATTTTGCAAACTCATGAATAGGCCTAAATCTGCCATTTTGATCTTCAAAAAAAATGCCCGGCCTACTTCAGATGAACTACAAGAGTAAGGTACCTCAAATATTTGTACAATTTGTAAAGCTAGCTGCTCCACACAGGCTCACATGTAACTTCTGCATAGTGGCATTCATTAACAGGATGCTGCCAAAAAAAGATAAATAAATAAAAATAAATAAAAGACGTCCTGTCACACAGATGAGTAATATGGTACAGGCCTTTCAGTGTTGGTATGATGCTAGATGATATCAGGCTGTAAACCCCAAAAAGACTGGTGGATCATTTAAAAAACCATGCCTCAACTCTTCCGAATAGGGAAGGTACTGACTTTACTCACCCAAAAACACAAGAGTGCTCAATAGATGTTTTTCTCCGATTGGACAGTATTTGTTAAATAATCTAAGAATTAGAATTATTGTACTAAGAATTACACTGAGAACTGATTTAAGATTGTTAGTTGGGCATATAATCCGGACACTCGTGTGCAGCTTTCATTAACACATCCGGCTATTCTTTGCAGACAGAAGAACACGTACACACAGTGCACCTATTTCAAATTAATAACATGGCTGTCAACTATTTTTTGATTCATTCTCCAAGGCACTTAAAATCTAACCAGTGCATTCTCCATGGTAATGCCTCTAACAGAGTCCACTTGTCAACCAATCCACATCATCTACTCATACACCAAAGTGTTGTATTTGTTTACATTGTATGTCTTGACTGCAAGATGACAAGCTTCAATGACAACTTTTTAATATTGTTGATATTAAAAGCAGCTAAGATGTCTTATTTTGAAAGATACATTTGCAGTATTAGTCATGCATTAGATGTTTTTCTCAAGAGGCTCACCATTCCAAAAAAATTTTTGTGGACCTCCCACTGACATTTTGAAATGCAAATAAGATACAAATCCTATTGTTTTTCCTCTTTTCTCAAAGTTACATCTTCATAAGTATAAACGTGCGCGTTATGGGGCCTCTTCTCTCCCGTGGACGGACACTGAAACTGTTCAAGTACAATTGGTAGGTTTTCCTCTAATGGGCAATATCATCATAAATAGGTGGTTTGCTCATTTGTAATGTCCAAGTTGACAAAATGTCAAATCTCTCCTACCATAGCTCAAAAACATCAGCACTTCCAGGGACAACAAAAACCTAAATACCATCAGCTCAAATATTTTGTTTTAATGATTTGATCTGCACAATCCACGAGTCTTAGATAGTGGTGCACCAAGATGAAGTAAAAAACAAAAGAATAAAACTATGACTCTGACAATGGATACTGTTGTAAGTCAGGAACCAGTGCTCAACTTGTCTACTGATAAGAATCAACTGGATAAAGCTGAGGTGCAAGGGTACCACATTAATGCCATGCTTATAGGATAAAGATTGTGACAAAGCTAATAGCAAAGACTGTGGAAGTGATGAATACTTTAGGTTTAGAGTCAAGTTTGATAGATTGAACGGTCTTGAGCCATACTTAAATGAAAACAAGTTGTAAAGTATAAACAAAAACAAAAAACAACCATTGTCAAAACTCACTGGGAAATGGATTAGAGGCACTGTCAGAAGCACAGAGAAGAGTATACATATTCTAACTGACATGATGACGGTGTCCCGTGGCAGATACTGGCTATAACTGTGCAGCAACTGAGAGCTCACATTGGCTGAAAGAAAGAAAATTGAAGAAAATCTTAGCCTTTTGGGAGCACTACAGAAACAACTTTCAAAATATTCTGGTTAATACTCCACACAAACCATAAAATGTCAGGTAGCCAAACAAGGCAGAAAGCATGTAGATCGAAAAACTGAGAGTCATTCCTATGTTAACTGCTTTTTGCATCCTGCTCTTTGAAGGCCTGGTCAAAAGAAATCCAAATTTGTTAGTGTTACATGCGTTTGGCTGCAAGATACACAAAATGCTCACTTTTGTCCAAAACAAGGATCACAGAGCTCTCAATTAGAAGTGTTAAATTTGAATATATGAGCTAAAATACTTAAATAAAAATTACACTTCATAAACATTCATGCTAATTAATGACAGGCATTTGTGAATGAAAACAATTCCTAGTAATCCAGCTTTAAGTACTTCTGGGTCAGTCTGCATGTTTTACCTTCCCACCAGCACATAACATTTCACAAACTAACTAGCAAGCATGAGTAAATCATCCAATTGCTCACTTTTCCTTTAATTTAAAAGAAAGGAAAGGATGTGTGAAATCACTGAAGTTTAGAAAGAGCAGGATTCGAGGCTCAGCAAACAAAATTTAGCCTTTGAACAGTTAATGATTGGATACAGACCGATTTAATACTAATTTCAACTGAAGGCCAAAATTATTGGCTGCTTCCAGTGATAAAAAGTGATGCCCATTCAGTCAATTGGATATTTAAGAGACATGCTGCACATAACCTAGCAGGCACTCTGCTCAACATACCTTTTAAGTTCACAGTAAATTGGCAACACAGAAGTGTGGCAAAGAAATGAAAATGCCATTGTTGGAATTGCATACGCACTCTACAGGATGAAGAAAAATTGCAGTGTTAAAATATAGCTTCGATAAAGTTGGACTTTATATGCATGACAATGATTTTAAGAAAGGTGATCAAAATTGTCATTAATAGTATTGTCAAGTGGTACATGCCTAGCAATACTGTTCACTGACAGCTTTTGGATTTTGCCAGGGCTATTGAGCTGCCAACCTCAAAACCAGACTCAAACGAAGGCATTGAATTCCAGAGGTAGTGCACAAATGACTACCTTTGACATCAAGGCAATATCTAACCGAGTATGGCATCAGGGAACCCTCATGCCAATTTCAATCAACAATATTATCTGTGATAATGCAAAAAGTTATTCAGGATAACAATGATTTCAAGAGGGGCCCGCAGTACAAGTTACTAATCATTTCAGAAAGGCTACTTTAGAGACAGTGTTTTGTAGTCATTTTAATTTGACATGATTGCCAGTGCTTCTTCAACAGGCACATTCATTCACAGGAAATTGCTTTTTGCCTTTTAGTTCAGATTTTAAAATCACTTGCACCTATGAAATGGTTTATTAAAAAAAAAGTTAAAATTGGGTTCCATATGTAAATTATGTATTTCAAGTGACTTAAGCTAGAATTGCATTTAACTTTAATATCAGTAACACTGCAAGCTGCCAGATAATTACAATTGCAACCTTTCTTGGAAGACTAATTTGTTATACAATTTATAACCAGAGAATGAACAGCTCTTGCAGAGCAAGCAACTTGAGTACAAACCTTGGTTGAAATTTGTAGAAGCCTTGGTTTACATTCATCGGAACTAAAGTTCTAAACAAGAAAAAAAAAGGAAAAAACAAACAACTTTATAATCTATCAGAATCCCTAAAATAATTTGTCTAACTTTTCACGTTGGTATGTCTTCAGTCATCACCTTGCACACTTAATATGAAAACTTCTCTCCTCCACTTGAAATCACTTGAACCTATGTTATTGGGATGCAAACTATAAAGTTACCTAACCAACCAGGTCGATGTGCAAGAATGGGATACCATGAAAAAAGTTGGATATCCATATTTCCCCACCAAAAGTCATGAGAAAGTAGATTAGGACAAACCAATTTTTGCTCTTCAGTAGCCTAGGGACACAATGTAGCAGCTATTGTAGGGAGTGGGGAAATTTTACTGCCTTGGACATTCAAGAAAGCAATAAAGAAAAGTTTAAAAAATTGCAATACAACAATTCTATCCAATTGAATTGGAAACACAAACACAGATCAAGTAGGTACTGCTCATGGCATTAACATATTCCATTTGAAGCTTTCATACACTCTGAAATTGCTTCATGTGAAATTAAGCCAAACCTTTAAGTCCCAAAGAAGAGAAGAGTCATATTGGACTCCAAACACTAACTTAGTTTTTCTCCCCACAGATGCTGCCAGACCTGTTGAGTTTCTCCAGCAGTAACCTGGGTCTTGAACTTGCCATATTTGGGACCTTATGAAAGATGACTTTAGACAGCAGCAAATCAGTTACTAAAGACACAGTTCAATACTAAATTACTCTCAACCTGCAATCTTTGAGGCAAATGGATAACCTAGTGGTAGAAATTTAAACAAGTATCACACTGAGGCAACAGAATTTAAGGAGACAGATTAGAAGGAAGTTAACTAAAAACAAATACACTGGCTGATAAAGTCATACTAATGCTAGGTGAAGTCTGAAATGGAAAGCATTTATTCCCCATATTTACATGAAGTTAGAACAGCAAAAAATTGATTTTCAAGTTTACAAATGGGACCCAAACATTTTGCTTCGGAGACTTGTATCCCATACAAGGGAGAAAAAAAAAATCTAGAGCCACTCCAGAAAATATTAAAACACCCAGAGAATTATTGTGCCATAGTATCCAAGGAGACACACTATTCATGGCAACCACCCCTCTCCCCATTCATTATGGCACATTGTGCCCTTATACAAATAGACTGGCCCCAAAACAAAAAAAAAAAGGTGATTTTGGTTTATTCCTTACCCATCTACAAAAACACAAGCCAGTCAAACAGTTTGGCGAACTGCTACAACTAAGTCAGAACATGTTTTCCACTCATAGCTTGAAAGATTCATTAACATGAAGGCCATGCAAGAGTTGCGTATCAATAGTGATTCGACATCCAGGTACTCAGTGAACATTGATGTTCTGTTCAATATACCACAGGAAACCATAGACATCTACACTGCTACACTATCATGGCAATATAGACTTTAACATTTCAGCGAATAAGGACTCATACACTTATGGACTCAACAAACTGCAGTCGTGTTCAGTTTTAACACCACGTATGCCCAAATAGATGATGTCACCCATGGGATCTGACCAAACCCAGAACTTGAAAAATATTTTCACTTTATTCCATGAGACATGCCTCCAATAAGAATCCACCCAATGAACGCTCTTCTCTCATCTAGTATAAAATGCTGTTTTCTTTCTGTTGAAAAAAATTATCCTGATAAGTGCAAGACAAAAAGCTTTGAAAGGACAAGAAGCATTTTCAGCGATGTTCAAATGCTGAGTTATCAAAGACAATTTTAATACTTATACTCTGCACTCTTATTAAAAGCCTCCTTTATGTAATGCACTTTGATACTTTAGCCTCAAATAGGACAAATGTGACACAGTTAAAATGGCCAGGAATCAGTGATAGTTATTACAATCGTAAAACTGAAGGAAGCCATTTGATTGTGCTCATACCCATGAAAATAAAGATGTCCAATTAATCCTATTCTTGCTCACTCTCTCCATTATCTTGCAAATTCTTCTCATTCAAGTCTCTATCTAATTTTCTATTGAATTTGCTTCCACAACATTTAAAGCAATTCTTGCCCAAATTTAACTTAGTTAAGAGCAACTAGTCATTTCTTCAACACAACATCCTTAAGTAGGGCCTCATATTAGACAAACAGCATAGAATCATTCTAATCTCTAACTGTCACAGCAGTATCAAAAAGGTATCTTACCTGAACATAATTTACAGTGCCATTAAACAGTGGGCAAGGAATGAACCATTTTTTAAACACAACCTGCAGAAGATAAATCATGCTAATTTAAAACACCCAAAATGAAAACAGGGCGGAATTGCCAACAAGAAAAATGTTAGAGTTTAAGAGGTTTCTATAGGAATAGCTTTTGCAGTAGCCTATTTACATGTTGCAACTAAATTAGGCCACAGAAGTTTGAATTGCATAAGTTTTTCTACTTGACTGCAATACAATTAAGAAAGCCTTATATAAATGAGAGAAGGGTACGTGAAGCAAGTAAGAAAAAGGCAGGGTATTGTAGAGAGTGAACATTGTTGAAGCTGTTTAATTACTGCTCCAACACTATAGCACAGACATGCATATTACTACATTATAAAGTGCAGGAGAAAACTGGACTTTCAAACTTGTACTAGAATTCAAGTGTTCCATAGCTTTTGTCATAGTTGCCCACTTTAAAAGTTCACCCAATTTTTTTTTCAAAATAGTAAAGATCATGCAAGATGAGAAGCTAGATATCTAGTGCTTCCAAATTTAAGTTGAAAGCTTCACTCATTTAGTGCAAACTGCATACAAGTAGCATGCGAGAACAAGTATTGTCAGAAAATTGTCTGATTAAAATAAAAAGAAACCAATAACAGATTTCAACTTGTACTAAGATAAAATTGCAAAGAAAGTGTCTGTAGTAAGAGTCTCAAATGTGTTCAAATTTCTGATTTATTAATATTCATGTCAGTTGGAATTGCACATAGATAAAAACATGAATAAGTTAAATATTTTTCCTTTCCCTCCAAACTATTTGTCATATTTCCTAGGGCTAACAAAAGGTGTTTAAAGCAGCCCAGGAGATTATTAAAAGAGTTCTTAGCTATTACTTGGTACTTTTGTCAGAAATCTGACTCAAATTGCTCAGATACTTAAAATGGCATCATATAGTCAAATATAGTTTTTAAGAGTTCGACCTTTTTTGTTCAAGTTTTAGGAAATGTAACTGGACTGCATATGAAAAGAGATGCCAGAGGCAAGTACTATTACAACATTTAAAAAACATTTAAACAGGTGCATGGATAGGAAAGTTTTAGAGGATATGAGCCAAACACAAGCAAATCGGGGTAGTTCAGTTTAGGCAACCTGATTCAGCATGGATGAATTAAGACAAAGGGACTGGTTCTGTACTATATGGCTGTGACTCTATGATAGTGATCTCACCAAAATATTAATGAATGGATTCAAGCATATTTTGAGGGTGACTTAAAAGAGGGACCTAAAACCATTAATTTCTACCAAAACCAACTACCAAATATTATGTGACAAATGTTTTTGTAGTGAACTGATATGTGGAAGTACAGATAGATTTCTACAGAAGAATGCAAGAATTTAAAAGCCTGCTAAAAGAGGATTAATAGATTATGAAATACTTTACTAGTTATTGATGTAGAGAGAGCATCATATAAAAAGGGAAGAGTATTTAAAATAGGAAAAACAAAAAGATTAGTACCAGGGAAGAAAATAAGACTAGAAGTAGTTGAAGTATGACCAGCATAGGCAGAAATGCATGACTGATCTGCCTTTTTACTGTAATTTCTATTATGAAATAAAGTAGGGAGACGATCAGCTATTTGTAGGTGTGGTTTAAAACTAAGAATTTTTTTCATAGTGAATCAATGAGTGAACAAGCTTTTAAAAACTGCTCTATTATGGTGCTGCATCTTTCATAATTATGCTGTACTATGATAGTAAGGAATAGTCTGTGCATCTGAACAGTGGATCTGTTTCAGGTTAAGTAGAGTCATGGTACGTATTTTACAGTAATGTTTCATTATCATTAATTCCAGTATAATATGACACTTGACAAATATATAACAGCTGTTCTAGGCAATTAAGTGAAAACATCCAATAAAAAAATGACAGTTATGCCATTTTTTCCATATTTTTGTGCATTACATGGTTAGAGTGTGATTTTTTTCTGGTTAAAATTTCCCAGCTATTGATAGTGGCAGGTCAGTAGGCAGGAATATCCCAAGGCAGACCACTGGCAGTAGATGGCTGCTGTGATGCAGTATCCTTCCACAGCACATTATATAGGTTCAAGGTCAATTTTCTCACCATTTCCCTCCACCCATTCCATACATCAGCTTCTCAGCTAGCCTGGGCTGAGGTTATTCACAAGCAGTTGTAGAACAAGCTAGCTATTAATTATGTAACTAAAAAAAAAAGCAAAGTTCAGTACAGATTAATTATCTTTGGCATATTATCTTCATTCTTCCTGTCAACTCCAACTGCTGTGTAATAAGGAAAACCTGCTCCCGAAGATCTATCAATGCTGAAAATTGCTTGGAAAACATTTAAGCTCTTTTCAGTTACACAAGTGCCTGATCTTTCCTTGTCTGAAAAAAAAAGGTACACAACTGAGAACAGGAAATTAACTTGTCAGGAAGTAAGGGAAAGCCTGAATCATATCAGTTTATATAATAGCATACTACAATAGCAGAGTGCTAGAAACAAAACAAAAATGTCATCCAAGTCTCATTTTAGTGTTACCAAATAAAAAAAAAGTGACACTGGTGGTCACGTAGGCACTGAATCTGCAAACTTAAATGACATGATTTACTTTGGTACATATTAGTCATCTGTGACCATCCACCCTAAAACAAGTGACTAGCTTAACTGATTTAGAAGGCACTAAAGAAATTTCACTCACCACAATGGTAAAGTAGACCATGAACAAGATGGACAAACCACTTGTATAACCGAGAAACTCTGAAAACAAAAAAATGACATCCAGTATTAGGAAATCCCAAATACAAGCTGTGCTGTAAGGAGAAATAAACATTCTATGATAATTTACAAGAAGGGAATGATGGTCTACAGAGTCACGGTCAACTTCAAGAATGAGCAGTGTTTACATATATTCCAACTCCTCCTACAAAAAAAAAGGATATTAAACAGAATGCAAAAACACAGGCAGAAAACATCAACCGGTGTTGACAAATTTGCAGCCCTCCACCAGTAGAAAACATGGTTTTGAAAAGATGGTAGAAAACTCAAAAAATACATTTTATACGTTTTATGACCTTTGCTTAATCAAAGATGTGAGCCCACAACCTGCACTCAATTGTGGCATCCTTTCAGCTGAGCATTTGTTAGCCAGCCACATTCACTAGTGAAACTGGAATGATTTGCTCTGAAGCAGGGTGGATTTATTAGGGGTACCTGAAATTAGGAAGAGGTTTTCCTAAACATAAAAAGGAAGAGAAACTCAAGATAGATTTAGAGGTAATTGATGAAACTGTTGGGTAAGATGCCAAAGTTAGTTTTAAATACAGGGAGTTGAGATGATTTGGAAAGTTCTAGTTTAGTGTGTAGTGGAAAGTTTGAAGAAAATTGGATGTGTACCTGAAATTTGAAGAGGTTGCCAAATATCAGAATTTGTTAACATTGATAACTATCAAACAAAAATATCTCCAGGCAATGCAACTGCAGGCGAGACTTGGCTTCAAGGTTTGCAACCCGGATTCTTCAAGATACAGAGAATTGTTGCAAAGGAAAAATGAAGTGCAAGAAAGATATCATGACTCAATTTCTGATTTGGTTCAGCCTCTTTCCCTAGTCACTAACAAAATGTTATACAACTAAGACAAGAATTTTACAAGACAGAGGCGTGCTCAAATATTTCTAATAGGATTCAGTTGAAATTCTGTTTGTTGTTTAAAAGGAAGTTTTAAAAAGCCATTAACTGATACTTAGTTGAATTCTGAATGCACCAAGCTAAGAAGAGCAAATGTTGATAGTTACAAGAGTTAATAACATTAGAACTATAGTGATAGCTATGGTTAAAATGCTAGAAGTGCACGTGTCAGACATGGATTCTGCAACAGGACAGTTGGAAGAGATTTAAAGAATAAAACACCTTGCCAAATGCAAGTGAAAGGTCCAGGAAATCCCAATCCGTACACAAGTTTTTGATGCAGTACTCAAGCAGAGGAATTAGTTACCAAAAATTTGAAGGTTATCTGACTGGAGTTCAGGAGATGCAAGTCATAAGACCATACGACATAGGAGCAGAAATTAGGCCATTTGGCCCATCAAGTCTGCTCCACCATTCAATCATGGCATAAGTTTCTCCACCCTATTCTTCAGCCTTCTCCACGTGACCTTTGATCTCTTTAAATCAAGGGCCTCTGTCTTAAATATACAGAATGACCTGGCCTCCACAGTCTTCTGTGGCAATGAATTCCAAAGATTTACCACTCTCTGGCTGAAGAAGTTTCTTCTCAGGTATTCTAAAGGGTCTTCCCTTTACTCCAAGGCTGTGCCTTGGGGCAGTCTCTCCTGCTAATGGAAACATCTTCCCGACATCCACTCTAACCAGGCCTTTCAGTACTCTGAAAATTTCAATTAGATACTCTCTCCCCCCATCCTTGTAAACTCCATCAAGAATAGACCCAGAATCCTCTAATGTTCCTCACACATTAAGCCTTTCATTCCTGTGATCATTCTCATGAACGTCCTCTGGGCCCACTCCAGGGCCAGTACTGGAGATATTGGGCCCAAAATTGCTCACAAATTAGTCAAGTAGATGTAGAAAGAAATTTGAATCAAGTAGTTCAGCACAACCGGTTCATTTTACTCACTGCATTCTTAATTACCTATTTAAGACTGTTTGCTTTAACTTATTTTCTTTGAATTTGGTGAAGTAGCATTCTTTTGCTTTAAACCAACTACTCGTCTTCTATGCAAGAATAAAGACACAAGAATTTTACAAGAGAGGTGTGGGGAAAGTTTCAAATTCCATAAAGGAAAAGAAGATCATCACACTTCAAAGAACAAAAACCTAATGTTTAGTTTAAGTTCAGTTTTAATGTTACTGAAGGGGGTGGAGAATTCAAATGCCTAACATACGTAGAATAACACTGCATTATAAGATCACCTGCATTTGGAAAGGACAAAAATTTTGTTGTTGGGTAGGTGTAATCAAACAACTGAGAAAACAATTTTAGGACCCTGGAAGATACAAATAGTGGGCTCCAGAGTTGTATCTTAGAATTATTTTCATCGACTTTCATTTCCTTTCCAAATCCTACATACAGGCATGTTTCCGAGGAATTCCAATTTCACGAAAGGGGTCAAACACACCAGTTAAGCAAAAAGTATTTTCAATAATTTGTGGTTACAATGAGTACTTTTTTTTAAATAAATACATAGCACATCTCAAAGCATGTTGGCAATGTTATGCAATAAAGTGTAATTTGAAATAAGTTTTGACCAAAACAGTGCATAATTTTACAAACACTTCAAAATCAGCAGTAACTACAGATCAATTAAGTGTTATGCTATTGATGACATACTGCATTAGGGACTGGAGAGAAAATAATGTAAAAACAAACAATCACCTATTTTAGGAAGAAGAGCAAGGGGCAGAACAACGAAGATAACCGTAACAAGAAGGAGAATCTGTCCATTAAGATACCATGGAGTCCTAAAGTGTGAAAACAAAGATAAGGTTAAAGTTATATAGTACCAGTAAGTGAACATAAAAAAATCAAAGAACTTGCAAGTTTATGGCCAAAATTTGAGAGCATGGGTCTAACAGGACAATTCTGTCATCACAGGAACTAATCTTGTGGGCTTGACTGCGTTGCTTCCAATATAACATCCACAACCACCATCTAGTGTGATAACAGCAGTAGATGCAAAGAGATGCCACCATCAGCAACTTCTCCTCTCAGTCACTCGCCATTCTGACTTGGAAATATACTGCCAGACCTTCAGTTTAAGAGTTCCAGGATAGTGACCCAAACATTGTAAGTCTGTCTATACCAAATGCATTGTAACAGTTCAGGGCAGCTGCTCACCACCTCAAGGTAAACTAGGGATAAGTAATACATGTTAAGCCAACTAGCAATACATACATCCCATGAATTAAGGGAATTTTTAAATTCTCATCTCTTTGCAGCCTCTATGTCCTCAGTTTAGAGAGTCCAGCTTTGTATTGCTGGCAAACTTGGATTAAAAGGGGCAGAAAGTAATGTGTTTTAAGTCATTAATAGTAATAGACAAAATAGCTGAGGCTTCAAGACAGATACTTGCAGCAATCTACTAGTCAATTTACCAAACTGAAGATAAAAAGCTATTTTTCCCCACTTTCACATTTGCTGGTATACTCAAGTTTGTAAATTGAGTATCCTGCATAGTCACCCTGCACTATTGCCTTGTCCATTCTAAGTTTCCAACTCTACCCTCTTACTTGCAGGCCATACTATTAAAGCCTTCTTTACAGGCCATGAAAAGGCTCAGGAGGACACTAATCCCAATACCCATTAATTGAAACCCACTTCTCCCACAGCATCCTGCTACCTACAAATCTCATCCATCATGAGTCAATTTGAATGTTAATCAGATAGTAATCCAGACACTAAATTTGTGGGATAACAAGATGTAGAGCTGGATGAACACAGCAGGCCAAGCAGCAGAGGAGCAGGAAAGCTGGCGTTTCAGGCCTAGACCATTCTTCAGAAATGGGGGAGGGGAAGGGGTTCTGAAATAAATAGGGAGAGGTGAATAGACGATGGATAAAGGAGAAGATAGGTGGAGAGGAGACAGACTGGTCAGAGGCAGGGGTGCAGCCAGCAAAGGTGACTAAGAAAGGCAATGTGGCCGAAGTACCTGGTTTGCTTCAGGACGAGGTCGAGCAGTTTCAGGGCCAAAGAGATTACAAGAGAGTTGCAGTGGGGGAGAGATTCACTGAGATGTTTCTGGAGGGAGGAGTGTAACTTCAAGGTAGGCATCCTTAGAAGAGGCTTCACGGTGGGGTTAAAATTGTTTCAGAGATAGTAGGAACTGCAGATGCTGGAGAATCTGAGATAACAAGGTGTCGAGCTGGATGAACACAGCAGGCCAAGCAGCATCAGAGGAGCAGGAAGGCTGAGGAAACCCTCCTCCCTCCGGAAACACCTCAGTGGATCTCTCTCCCACGTCCCAAAACAAACCAGGTACGACAGCCACATTGCCTTTCTTAGTCACCTTTACTGGCTCCATCCCCGCCTCTTTGACCTGTCTGTCTCCTATCTTCTCCTTTATCTATCTTCTATCCGCCTCCCCCGCTCTCCCTATTTATTTCAGAACCCCCTCCCCCCACCCCCGCCATTTCTGAAGGGTCTAGGCCCGAAAAATCAGCTTTCTGTTCCTCTGATGCTGCTTGGCCTGCAGTGTTCATCCAGCTCTACACCTTGTTAACTAAATTTGTGGTTTGATTTTTTTAAAAATTTAGTCCCCTGTTCCTCATTCTCTCCCCCCCACCCCTCCCCCTTCATGGCTTAATTATATTGTTGATGCTCACATGCTCCGTAACAATCCATTCCTTCCTTTCCCACCCCAGGCTCTGGTCCATGATGGAGCAGATGTTTAGGTATAGCACCAGGCAATATAGTCTTTAGAGCTCAGGTGATCAGCTGTAGAAAACCATATCCTATCCCTCATAGTACACAACTACATAGCATTTTTACTCTAGTCCTAGCTAAATGAGCAAAATGAGTGCAAGGAGCCATTCACTCACAAGTCCCTGGTCACATTCGCACAAGCTGGAAGAACCCTGAACCTGCTAGACAATTAAAGAGAGGTTTCTCTATTTGTAACTTTTGGAGCCTCACTTTCTTCACTCAGACACACCCAACTGCCCCTGACTACTAAGTGAGAAGTACCTAAACCAATGGGGATGACCCAAGGCTAGCACTGCTACCTCACAGTACTTGGGTTCAATTCTAGCCTGGAGTTTGAATGTCTGTGTGGATTTCCTCTGGGTGCTCCAGTTTCCTTCCATAGGCCAAAGATGTACAGGTTAGGTGGATTGGCAGGGTTACAGAGATAGGGTGGTGGGATTGGTATGGACCTAATGGCCTGCTTTCACACTGTAGGGATTCTGATCCTATGACTGCCACATAGAAGAAAGCATGGAGATCCTGGTTTAACTAGAATGAAATGGTTTAACTAAATAAGCAATAAATTTATTGCAATTCTTCCATCTCCCTGGAACCAAATTTAAACCACTGACACCATTTACAGGGATAAAATTGTTGTTTCATGAAACAAACGTAATGACTCAAAGAACTGTAACTGAACAGCTGCAGGAGATGAGAGATTAGGAAGGGCCAAACCACAAATATTTGAAACCAAGAATGAGAATTTCCAAGTCAAGACATTGTTAACATTCAATCAGGTATAAGTGAGCAAACAGATGTGCAAATAGGATTTGGTGCAAGTTAAGTCATGGTCACTCAGCCTTCTGCCCTCAAGTTTACAAAGGATACAAATGCATGGATGAGGGGTTCAGCAGGAGACAAGCATTCAGGCGGGCAGCTATGCTTTATGCCTAGTGGAATGGAGTGGTGAACTTGAAATTGAAGGAGAATGATCTCAGCCCAGGGAAGTGTTTGCAATCGTCTCAGCCCAGGAATGTGTGTTTGTGGAATTGCTCAGAGCCATGTCTTAGGCTCAACATCTACATCCTGGATGTCACCATTGACTGGAAACCTAACTCAACCACAAGAACATTCAGAAACTGATATCCTGCAGCAAGGGACTCAACTCCCAACTCCTGTGTCTCCAACATCACTGAGGCAAAAAACCAGGAGTGCAATGGAACACTCTCCACATGCCTAGATAAATGTTGTTCCAAAATCTTGAGTTTCAACACCATTCAGAACAAAGCAGCCTGCTTGATGGGCATGACCTTCATACCTTACAAATTCACCAACATTGCAGCTCGCAGCCAGTGTGTACCAACTACATGACGCACAAGAGTTTTTCAACAATGCAGACACATGGGAATGCTCCCACTTTCAGCCTCCCCTCCAAGTCCATCTCAACTTGGAAATGTATCACTGTTCCTTCATCATTGCTGGGTCGAAATCCTTCTCCAATTGTATTCCTACAATGCTTTCATAAACAGCAGCAGTTCATCTTGACAGCAATTACAAATGGTAAACAAATGTAAGTTCTTGCAGTGATGTTATTCATGAATGAATTAAATTACCCTTTTGGAGTAACAAATTGTCTACAGGATCAAAAGAAAAAATAAGCACTGCAACTATCAGAATTCAGCACCACTATTGTAATACTAGAAACCGAGAAGCCATTTCTCTAAATTTGGTTAAAAAGAGCATTGTATAACCCGAAAGTACTCAGACCGTTAAAGTTACATTTCAACAATTAAACTTTGAATTTTTAGTGTAATTACTGAATCATTAGCTCCCTAGTGGATAAGAATGTGTATAGTAAAATGTGGCACAACTTTTGTTCTTATCTTGGTCAAGAATAAATTATTTAATCTAACCAGACATTTAATCCAGTTCCACTGAATAATTCATACATTATGATCAGTGCTACTGATACTTACCCATCGTAGCTGTTGTGTAGGAAACCAGCAATTGCAGCAGGCAGTTCAGACTTTATTATGAACAGATAAGATGACATAGCTGGTGACAGAAAAGCAACATTTTGGAATATTTTTTTTCAAATTGCTAAGAGCCGTATTAAAGTTAGACTATTGACTCAATGAACAAGCAGGCTGTCTAAAAATGCTGAACAATTAAGTTTCAAAATTATAACTGCTCCGTCTTTCCTTTTAATTCCCACTGAATTGTAAAATACAACTACAATAATTCTACAGTTTTCTTTATTGCAGCTTCAACATTAAAACAAGTTAAAAATGGTCAAATTCAAGAATTATAAGTGACCCAGCTATAAGTGTTCTGAAATAATCTTAAAGCTATTACGTTGATTAAATTGGTTACTTTCTAGGAGGAGCTTTCTTCCCCCCCCACCACCACCTCCCAAGACACTGACTGACAATCCATTTCAGGTCAACATTTCAATCCCAGGACAAGAATGGAGGCTATTAAATGTCACGTTTGTTAGGTAATTTTTGTTTAAAAAGTGATTAACCTCTGGCCCTACTTTTCATATTTTACCAAAGTCAAATCTCAATATTTCATGAGACACTTTCCGCCTGGAAAGGGTTTAGGCTCCATTCTTATTTGCCAAAGCCCCCACACAAAAAGCACTTCCATCCTTCAACTGCACAGATCAGTGCGACAATATTCTGTAAAGTGTTTTAAATGACTAAGCAATTAACATAATTAATACACCACAGTATATGGTGTTTGTCATATAAATTTTCAGAGGAGGATAGCAAAATAGATATTGAAGACATGGATTATACCCATTGAGAGAGCTTGGTGTACAGTTCTAATTTAATTGTAGGTAAATTGAGACCTTTAAAAGATACAAAAGAACTGAATAAAGGTGTTTCTGGATATCAGGAATCTATAGAGGAAAGGTTTGCACACTACAACAATTCTTTGACAAAAGGTCCGATTTTCATTACGAAAGAGAAGCTTAGATTATGAAAGGGATAACATGCAAAGAAAAAAAAACAAAAAAAAAGTGGTGGTGAAATGTTCAAATACCAGGAAAGTCAAGCTGAGAGACAGAACACCAAACAGGGATGTCAGACTTCCACGTCAACCACGGATCAGTGGCACTGATTGAGTGACAGCATTGTGGGTTGATGTCTTGTAATGCACTCGAGACTGGAGCACAAGATCCAAGCACCATTTTACTGCAGCATTGGAGTGAAGTTGATTACGTTTGCAATGAAATATTAAACAGTTTTTGTCTGCCCTTAGATGGGCACAAAAATATCTTGGCATTATGCTATGAAGAAGGAAGTGTCTTGGCATCATGGCTAGGATTTATCTCACTGCTGCTACCAAAATGAGATTCTGATCATTCTTATAAATCGCTGTATTTAAGATCTTGCTCTACATATATTGGCTGCCTATTTCCTGCATCACGCTGACAACTCTTCAAGAAGTGCTAAATGGATTGAAAAGCACTTTGGAATGTCCTGAGAAGTGCCATACAAATGCAAGTTCTTCAGCAATTTCTCCATAAAGACATTGTGGAATAAATTAAAAAAGTGAAATAGCATTTCTTTAGACCCAGTTTCAGGTGTGTAGAGAAAAATAAATCAGCAATTATGGTGAGAAGGTAGATATTGTGAGGACAATCAAAGAAGGATCAGTTTAATCTAAGATTCTTCAGAGTAGGTGAGCATCAAGTCAATTAAATCTCTTCCAATCTTTGGGATTAAGGACTCTGATCCAACCAGGTCTGCATCATAATTACTTCCTCACAGCTTGCACTGATTGCTGTATGGTAGGAGAACTATACTACATATGCTTTTGTACAAGATTTTAGAACAGATAAACCCAGCCACTGAAATCTGTCTGCTTCAATAGAGTAAATTTAATCTTTCGTTGGTGAATTCAACAAAGTTGCGTAAGAACATTATTTAAACAGGCAACAAAACACTGCAGCAGCACAGAGAAGATGAATACCTGGAAGAGGTACTCTAAGACAACAGATACCCGAAAAACTGGATCAGAAGATGCCTATTACACGAACGACATCAGGAAGGTACTAGACACCCCGACACACATCATACTACCCTATATCAGGAACACATCTAAACTGACCACAAGACTTCTACAACCATTGGGCATCAGATTAGCACCCAAACCCATGTCAACCTACGCCAACTGCTCACCAAAGCCAAAGACCCACTACGGACAGGACCAATGTCATATACTGTGACAAGCACCATGTCGGACAAACAGGAAGGAAATTAGCAACAAGGGTACACGAACATCAACTGGCTACAAAAAGACAACCACTACTCACTCATCTTTATCCACAAGGATATAGAGAACCACCAATTCGACTGGGACAACACCAAGATCCTGGGATAAGCAAAGCAGAGACAGGCACAGGAATTCCTAGAAGCCTGGCACTCCACTAAGAAAGCCATCAACAAACAGAGCTCAACCCCATATACACTCCACTGCGAAGGAAACCGGAATGAGGTAATCCAGCTCAACAGACTCCAGAGATGAAATAATAGGCGGGAAAACACAATGGCGCTTCATCAAAGGCAGCACTGATGTTACCCAGCAGGGTAATGAAACGTCTGCGGAAAAACAACGAACCAGCTCGGCGAGCCAACCAACCACAACCCAAGCTACAAATCTACTCTAAAACCTTAGATATCCAATTCTATTGCTCCGCAATGCAACATTTTGAGCAGATAATTTTGGAGTGATCAAAATTAAATGCCAGAAGCATGAAGTACAATGGATTTTTAGTTAATTCAATGGGACATTGCCACCACAGCTAAGCTATTGAGATGAACAGCCACCTTTTTGAACAATGGCACTTCATGGGGCATCCACAGTGCTGTCAAAGGATGGAGTTCCAGATTTTTTTTGACCAAGTCAAAATGAAGAGCAACATTGTTCCAAATCAGGATGGTGAGAGTTTTATAGGTGGTGGCAGTCATTTGTCCATTGTCTTTGCCCCTTGAAGTTGGGTGAAGTCACTGGTTTGGAAGATTCTAGTGCAGGAAGATCAGCAAGCTTCTGTTGTGCTTATTTTAGCTAGTAGAAAAAACCGCTACTGCACACTTGCAGTGCGGGTGGGTACTGGATAAGCAGGTTGCTTTGTCCTAGGTGACTTCAAAGCTTCTGTTGTTGCAGCAAAAGGCAAGTGAAGAATAGTCCATCATGTACCTGACTTGTTTTAGGGACAGCCATTCTAGAATTAGCTTTATACTCGAGAACACCACTGATAAATTGATCATACGCCAGGCTTCAAGACTACAAATTGAGGTTCAACGCAATTCTTTTGCTTTTGATAGTCCATAGCACATTAGATTTTTTTTTCTGATCTCATTTATCATGATGGCATGATGGTAGTGCCACTCACTACAATGAAGGGTATCCTTGGCGTGAATATGGGACATTATCTGCACAGCAGTCACAAGTATCATGGACCAGTTGTTTGGCAAGGTGGTGGTTAAGGACTTTCCTTGACCCCCCATCCTAGTCTTGGATCGCCCACCACCTTTTTCATCGCCAGCCCATGAATGTGTTTCAGGGCTCCAATTTGATTATCAGTGCTGCTACTGAGTCACTCTTGGATGAAAGACAGTTGGTCTCCCTCAATCAGGTAACCTAAACATTGATAATCTAATTTATATTAAAATTCAGTCTGCATATTTGGCATTTTAAAAGGGACAAGAACCAACAAACACCGAGAAGTAGCAAGAGCAAGCACATGGTAGGCAAGGAAAAGAAGAAACATGAGCCAAATTAAAATAGCTTTTCATTCAGTGGTGGCATATAACGGTTTTAAAAAGCAGAGGTGGGGGCACATCAGTCAATGAAAATGTCACCCATTTGGGCTAACTAGTTTCAATATTTCTTTATTGTTTAGAATATTATTTGTTTCAAACCTTAAAATTTTAAAAAGATGTTACATCAATAAATAGTTAAACACTACCACAAAAACACTGTACAAGGGTGGAATTAACAAAATGCAAGTTACATTTGCATCACACAAATGACAGGCAATGACCATCTTCAAGATGAAGTCTAACTATAAACTCTTGATATTCATGACACCACTGAATCCCCCATTAGCAACATCCTGGGGACTACCATTGACTAGAATCTGAATTGGGCCAGTCACAAGAATATTATGGCTAATAGATTAGGTCAGAGACTAGGAATCTTGCAGCAAGTAACTCATTTCCCGACTTCCCAGAGTCTATTAAGCACAAATCAAGAGTATGACAGAATACTCCCCACTTGTTGGAGCTGCACTCATCCAAACAATCAAGAAACTTGCCTCCATCCAGGATCAAGCAGCCTGCTTGACGAGCACCACATTCAAAAACACTCACTCGACTACTGATGATCACCAGCAGTGTGTGCTATCTACATATAGTTCAGTGCTCCTTAGACAACTCCTACTAAACTCATGACCACTACCATCTAGGAAGACAAAAGATGCATGGTAACACCACAATCTGCAAGTTCCATCTTCAAGCCACTCAGGGTTGGAAATGCATCATTCCATCACTGTTGCTGGGTCAAAATTCTGGAATTCCTTCCTCAACTCAATAGCAAATTAATTTATGATCAATACTTACCATTTAACAGTTTAATGAAACAAAAATAGTGATTGAAACGTTTAAATTTAGTCACTGCAGTAGAATGCTACATTTTACTTTTACTGTGGCCTGAACTCAAACCCACTCTGAATCAAATCAACTGAAACTTTCCTTCCCACAGACAGGCAATATTCTGCATTCAGCAATATTTCCACACCAGTCTTCATCTGCTAGTGCAGATCAGCGGCTAGCCATTCCTCTCTCCAGTGCTGTGCCGAAGCTGCTACCTAAATTCCATTGATTTGGGGAAAAAAGAAGTACAGCAGGAACAAATCTGTTCAGAGATGTTATTATACATCTGCTTGGACTTGAACCTGGACCTCCTGGTTCAGGGGTAGGGACACTACCCACTACTGCATAAGAGGGTTCTATTGTTTCTGCTGCAAGATAAAGTGATTGCTGAGGGTTCATACATGACTCCAGTGCAGCTAACTGCTTGGCAGCTATTTCAAATCAACTCTAATGAGGGGAGGTGATGGCCTAGTGGTATTTTCGCTGGACTGTTAATCCAGAGACCCAGACAATGTTCTGGGAACCAGGGGTCGAATCCCACCATGGCAGATGGTGGAATTTGAATTCAATATCTCGAATTAACAATCTAATGATGACCATGAATCGACTGTTGGAAAAACCCATCTGGTTCACTAATGTCCCTTAGGGAAGGAAACTGCCTCCCTTCCCTGGTCTGGCCTACATAATAAATGCTGCCTAGCCAGTGACGCCCTCATCCTGTTAATGAATAAGAGAACAGGAAAAAAGTGGCAACATTTAACTTGGAGGCTAAAGTATCTGCCAAACTTTTGGGGCAGACCTGGAGGAACAACAGCTTCCAGTAGAATGCGAGGAAAGCACTAGCTTTAACTGGGATGTGGCATTCAGGGGGAAGAAGTTGAATGGAGTGTAAGCATCTACTGGAGGGTGAAATAGAAGGGGTGGGATGGAAGCTCCAGTTTGAACTGAGGGAGAGCAAGGAGGAGAAAAGTAACTGTCAGAACTGGAGGGGGAAAGAGGTGTTTTTGTAAATAGAGTGGAGGGCAAAGAGGTGGTAACTGTCAGTATATACCAAGGCAGCAGATATGGTCACAGTACAAATGATCATGGAGGAAGCCTTCAGAAAAAAGTGAAGTTTATTTCAAACATGCAATTTTAAAGATCAATGTTTAAAAAAGCATGTACACAAATATTTAAAATCAAAATGCACCATTTCCAATGCACGAATTTAACTTTGAAATTAAATCACAAGCTTCATTGTACCCAGATTCTAACTTATCCTACATTTTTGGGACAGGGTGAAAAGTTAACTTGCAAAAAAACAAAATGCACGTGCTTGCTTTTAATGAAAAACAATTTACTCTGCATTACCAATAAAAAAAACTCGATTGGACAAAGTTTTATGGATGCTCTCCCAGCCTTTTATCAATAAACAGGTACTTAAAATACTGCCACGAAAACAACGCACCGTGTACCGATAGGACCCAGACTTGTACCTTGATTCACCACGTCCAGTTGTCCCTCAGTGGGGTGGGGGGCAATTATCACTGGAGGTGAATGCACGATGAAAGCTCTCTCACATCAACCCAACAGGAAGCATACTTAAAGTTCAACATATGCTTTTTAACCACAGCGGGAAAAGAAGCTAGAGTTCTGTTGTTGACTCGGGAGTGCTGTGTAAATACTGTGCCTTACTGCTCTTTTTTTGGGGGTGGGGACAGGAAAGAGGATAGCTGACTTTTAAAAGCAGACAAATACTTCAAGAGGTTTTAAAAAAGTTAACATTAAGAAAGTTATAACTGAATTATCATATTTTGGCAAAAATTCTGTTATAACAAAATTGAAGTTGATTGAAAATCTGAGAGTCTTCGAGTAATACAGGCAGAATTAGGTTGAAACAAAGTATTAAATATTACAACAAATAGATGGCAAAATTTAAGTTCTAGTTCACACAAACTACTCATTTACATTCCTGACTGGGACTTCTTCACGCCATTGACTGCATTATCTGATTATGTCAGTTCAAACATGCTGGACATATGAAATGGATTTGCTTTAACTGCTAGCAATACAGAACATTAGTTTTTATGAAGGAAACAAATTCAGAAGGGAAGGCATGAATTTTAGGCAAGTTATTGTTCACCACATTAGTGGAGAATGAAGCTCATTGCTGAAGATGAGCAGCATGGGAATTTTATTAAAAACTTTCAGCGTGTGGTTGAGATAGCAACCATTTCCCATGGGATTAATTGCAGTTTTAGAAAAACAAATGAAGAATGAATAAGAAATGTTGTATTTAATTTTAATTCAAGTACATGTCCCCTTGATTTAAGTAATACTTACAGTACACCCCACAAGAACATGCTCATGTATAAAGCATTTATTGGAGCCAAAAGACTTGTAAGCAAATCATTTGCACCCCAATAAAATTCCTGCTTTTTTAAAATCATTTAGGTGGTGAGAGCGCAAGAGCGGAGCATGTCTATGCCTCATTTCTCCAGTCAGAAAGGGAGCAAAAAAAAAAAAAAAAAAAAAAAAAACAAAACGACCTTTTTTTCCTCCTTACTCTATGCCCTTCCCACTATCATCACTGCATTTCATCATTGGCAGGGACATGACAATTTGACTGAAAACAGCATCTGTATTAACATGTGCATGACATGTTGTCCATCACTGGCCTATAGGCAGAGTCTAATGACAACAGCATGGCAGTAGGGTGTGCAAAGTTCCCTGCAAATAATTTGATTGTCCCTTAGAGTCAGAGTCATACAGAACAGAAACAGACCCTTCAGTCCAATTTGACCATACCAACCAAGTTGCCCCAAACTAAACTAGCCCCATATCTATCTAAACTTTTCCTATTCATGTACCTGACCAAATGTCTTTTAAGTGTCGTAATTGTGACTGCATCTACCACTGCCAGTCATTCCACATATGAACCACTGAAAAATTTGCCCCTCAGGTCTTAATTTTAAGGTGAGAGGGCAAAGATTTTTAAAATGTCCCCTAGTTTGAACTCCCCACCCTAGGCTAGTCACCTTATCTATGCCCCTCAATTTTATAAACCTCAAAAGGTCACAGTTCAACCTCCTTCCCAGTAACATCCTTGTAAATCTTTTCTAAACCATCTCCAATTTAATAATATCTTTCCAACAGCAGGCGACTAGAACTCTACACAGTAATCCAAAAGTGGCCTCACCAACATCCTGTATAACCATAACATGACATCCCAACTACTATAGTCAAATGGTCTGAGCAACAAAGGCGAGCAAGCCAAACACCTCCGTTATCACCCTACCTGTGATGCCACTTTCAATGAACTACATACGTACCAGAGAGACCTAGGTCTCTGTTCTACAACTCTCTCCGGTACCCTAACATTAACAACAAGTCCTGCTCTTGTTCATCTTATCAAAATGCACCATCTTGCATTTATCTAAATTAAATTCTATCTGCCACTCCTCTGCCCATTGGCCCAATTGATCAAGATCCCTTTGTAATCTTAGATAACCTTCCTTGCTGCCTACCATGTTGCCAATTTTGGTGTCATCCATAAAACATACTAACCATGCTTCCTATATTCTCACCCAAATCATTATATAAACAATTAGTGGATGCAGCACTGATCCTGGTGGAACCCTGCTGGTCATAGGCCTCCAGTCCCAAAAACAACCATCCACCACCACCCACTCTCCTGCCATCAAGCAAATTTTGTATCCAGTTGACTAACTCATCCTGCATCCCATGAGATCAATCTTTAGTATCAAGTGGAGCTCATTAAAAGGCCTTAAAGTCCATGTAGACAACTTCTATCACTCCGCCTTCATCCATCTTCTTTGTCACTTCAAAAAACTCAAGTTTGTAAGAGAAGATTTCCCCACAGACAAAGCCATGATAATTATCCCTAATTAATCCTTACCTCTCCAGATGCACTTAAACCCTGTCTCTCAGAATCCCCTCCAACAACTTACTCACTGGTCTGTAGTTCCCAGGCTTCTCCTTGCAGTCTTTCTTAAATAAAGAAAAGGCACAACATTAGCCACCCTCCAGTCTTCTGGCACCTCACCCATGGCTGAGGATGATACTAGTAGATCTTCTAGGAGCCCCACAATGTCCTAGGATACACTTGATCAGGTCCCAGAGATTTGTCTACCTTTATGCTCAAGACCTTCAGCACCTCCTTTGTAAGATGGACTATTTATTTCCTCAAGTTCCCTAGCTTCCATGTCTATCTTTCTCCACAATAAATACTGAAATGAAATATTAATTTAGTATCTCTCCCACCTCCTGTGCTTTCACCTACCTTATGAAGGAGCTGCACTTTAATCTTTCTTCAGGAGAAAGCAACAGTCTTCAGGTTAAAGGCCCAATCCAGTTTGTTCTCAGTTTTCCCTCCCACCACCCCCCCAACCACTGCTAACCCTTGCCCACAAGGCTTGAGACTTCATATTTCATAATGTCATCTAGATTCTTTGGTGCATTGTAAGGACTCTGTTCTTCCAGAATAGCTCTTGGATTTTTCAAAACAAAAAAAAAAGCCAAGTTGCCATTTCCACCATAATCTACACAGCAAACAGAGTTAGAAGTTCATAGGCAAACTGCCTTTTACAATCCACTTGATTCCTAGAAATTGAGTGACGTCCATTTGGAGATTACAGCAACAAAAAAGTTAGATGAAATAAAATAACAAAGTTGAAAAAAGTATATTTAAAATCAAGCCTCACCACAACTCCAGGGCCCAAGCATTATAATTTATAAGCCAACTCACATTTTAAACATGAGAAAATATGCTGTTGTGACATTTATCTATTTAAAAAAGTGGGTCAATTCCTCAAAATATTCCAATTGTTTGGGGGTTTGGAATTAAATACTGTCATTCAACCTTCTCTGGTCACGCAATTTCTTGATTATAGATTTGCTTACCTCCAATGTTTTGTATAAGTATTGCACCAGCAACCATAACCTGCAAGAAAACCAACAAATCTTAGTTAGTTATGTTTTCTGTGTTATCTTGATAAGTTAGAAAGAAAACAGAAGTAAAACAGAAGTTGTTGGAAATGCTCAGGTCAGCACAAACTGTTGAGAGAAGTAAAGAGGGCCCAGACAATGCAACAAGGATAAATCGAGATGGCACTCTTTACCCAGAAGGTCATAAGAATGGCATTGAGGGCAAAAACTCACCACGTCTAGCGTTGCAGTATCCGTGGATTAACTTCCCCACAAATGACACCTGATCCAAGCTTTTCCTCACATTGTGCTTTTGCTACATCTGTAGTAGTTCACTTGTACTGCCTTGTTTTAAAACCAATATAGTTTTACCTATGCACAGTAATGTATCAACACTAAATGAGACCAATGACAAGATATTTTGTTTGATACTGGCTTATAATATATTATTAGCCAGGAGCTCTCAATCTTTGTGAAGTGGGCACAGAATCTCAGTTTAATATTTCAGTTCAAAAGCCCTCTTAAAATCCAGAAATCCTTTACTATGGCACTGAAGCAGCTGTCCAAATTGTACAATCAACTTTAAGGCAATAACTTTTGAGTCAGAGATGACAGTGATGATCATGACAGTACACAGGAATTTTAACATTCTATCCAGTTTGTAGTCAAATTAGCCAAAGGACAAAAGCCACATCCAGAGCATGGGGGAGAATTGACATTGCAGAATTTTCATCTAATCGACAAATATGGCAGCACGGATAGGCTAGTCAGCGCATAAACAAACAGCAGAGACAACAACTTGTTTTCAGTCTACAGAATCATCCGAGGGCTCTACAGAGACATGTTATGCATCAAGAAAAGCAAGTAAGAACTCGTGAGCAGCAATCAGTATTTTCTTATTACCTTCCCAGTTGTCTTAAAGGCGTAAAACCCAAGGTCTTCATAGGAAGTCAGTGCTGGGAATATTCAAGGGAACAGTTAGTAGAAAACTAGGTTTCCTCTTCAAAAAATAAAAACCAACCTGTAAAATTTCATTAGTATGAAAGGTTATTTTTCCTTTCCAGTTCTCAAAATTCCCACACTATATTATTGATAAAATAGTAAGCAGGTGTCCCATGATTTTTAAAAAAAGAACATGCATTAACTACTTAGCAAAATCAGTTCAGTTATTCCTTTTACAAAGAAGAATCAGAGGATGCGGGTATCTCTGGTTAGGCTGGTATTTATTGCTCATCGCAACTGCCCAGGAGGGCAGTTCAGAGTCAACCACACTGCTGTGGGTCTGCAGTCACTTGTAGGCCAGATCAGATAAGTACGGCAGTTTCCTCCCCTAAAGGAGGAATGTCATTAGTGAACCAGATGGGTTTTTCCTGACCAAGAAAAAAAATTCTAGTCATCATTAGACTCTTAATTCTAGATGTTTTTAAAAAAATTGAATTCCACCATCTGCCACGGTAGGATTTGAACCCACATCCACAGAACATTGCTTGGGTCTCTGGATTAATAGTCTAGCCGTAGAGGTGTTATCACATCACCACTCCCTAAAGCTACTTATTAAATTCTTTCACCTTAAGTGCAGTTTGGTTTTAAACTCACCAGTTTGTTCACACAACACGAGCAGCAGATGAACTGAATATGCAGCCACAACAGCAACAAAGAGCAATAAGAGACTGCAGAATGAAAACATTAAAAAGAACTATGTAAAACAGATTCCCAGATTAATTAATGATAATTTACTGTAATAACATTTCACACGATCTGCCACACAGTGTTACATTTTCTCTATGTAAACTGGAATTGGATAGCCAGGTGCTGATGTGAAGCAATACTATGTTAAGTTTGATAGTAGTAACAAAAATAGTTACCATGCTGCCCTTAACACGAAGCCACCCTCAAAACAATGGTTGCTATTAAATTAATACAGCCTTTTCAAATTCCACATGGCGATTTCTTTCAAAGCAGTTTGAGGCCTGGATTCAGAATTAATAGCTGAGTGTGTACATTGGAAAGGGTTTAACACTGAACAAGCCAAGTAAGTTCCAGTTTAGAAGGTCAGAGGTTTTGTTTAAAAGCTTAAGGAAACACCTTTAGTTTAGAGAGTTTTTAAAAAGTTTTTTTGTGTTTTTAGCAGCTCTATGAAGTCGTTTGATGAAGGTGCTGGAAAAGAATAGCACTCCTGAGAAAGAATGTTACATAGTGAAACAGATTACCTTAGGTGAGAAGAGTTAGGAGTTAGTCTCAGACTAGAAGCATTGGGATAAATCCCTGAATAGGTTACTTCAAGCAGAGTACGTCTGCAGTCTGGCATATAAGCATTCTCCTTGGAGCTATAACTTCTTGGCTGGAACTGCAGATAAGTTCACTTACTGAGATTTTAGGAACAGGGACGACTCTGGTGAATGTTCTGTACGCCATTTCTATATAATACATAAAAGGTACGTTTTGGATGCTATACAAAAGCTGTTGATGTTCTTTTCAATTTATATAAGGGTGTTTTGAGACAAGATTATATTTTTACTGTGTACCTAATCTTTGAATGTGCTACAAGTAGATCGTTTGGTTTCTTCTGTTTTATCTTCATTTCTGGTTAACAAATTTGTTTCATTGTAAGTCAAAATCTGCAACATTGTAGCAATTGGCCACTTTGTTAGATCAAATGTTTTTGGTTCTGGTTTTATCAAGCCAGGTTTCAGTCTTAGATCTGAAATATCAATAACATCAGTTGGGTTCATTACAAAAACTAAATCTTTAAAAAGGAAACATTAAATCAGCATGTGTCTGTTAGTTTTATCTGTAGCCTAGCAACAGTAACATTTTAAATTCATTCACAGAATGTGTGCATTGCCCATGCTTAGTTGATATTGAGAAGGTGACAGCCAGCTGTTTTCTTGAATTGCTGCTGTCCATGTGGTGTAGGCAGACCTACAATGCTGTTAGGGAAGGAGTTTCAGGATTCTGACTGAGTGACAAAGGAATGGAGATACTTCCAAATCTGGATGGAGGGGAACTTGCAGGTGATGTTCCCATCTATCAGCTGCCCTTGTCCTTCTAGCTGGTAAATGGTTGAGGGTTTGGAAGGTGCTGTTTAAAGGAGCTTTGGTGAATTTCTGCATTATATAGATGGTGCATACTGCTGAATCACAGTTGAAGGACAGAGTGGCTGGATGTGGTGCAAATTAAGCAGGCTGCTTTGTTCTGAATGCTCGTGTCAGACCTCAAGTTTTATTGGCGCTGCACTCATCCAGGCCAGTGGGGAGTATTCCATCTTACTCCTTACTCTTTTTCAGATGTTGGACAGGCTTTGGAGAGTCAGGTGGTGTTTATTAATTTAGCACCATTAGTGGATCTAAAATGAATGGCAGGAGCTTTATAAAAAAAATGGACAGCAGTCCATAAACGATATTAGTGTACACTTGGCCAAACATGTGTTTTAAGGAGTATCTTAAAGCAGGGTAGAGTGGTACAACACTTCAGGGTGCAAATTTCAGGGTTGGACCTTAATAGCTACAAAACAGCAGAAAGATTAAAATCAGCAATGTACAAAGGCCAGCACTATGAAGTGCAGATATTTAAATGTTTTAGAAATAAGGAAAGACAAGGTTTATGGAGAGATTTGCACATAAAAAGGAAGAGGCATTGCTTAATTATGAGCTAATGTAGATAAACAACCAAGGTGTGAGAATGAGACGATGCAAGTTCAGGCAGAGTTTTAAACTTCTAAAAGCTTACACACATTGGAATATGGGAACGCGTTGAAGTTCTCAAATTGAGAGGTAACAAAGGTATAGTAACTTGAAAGAATTCATTTTAATAATTTGTGTTCTTTATTTACGAACCTTAAAAAGATCAGAAAAGATTGATTTGGAACTAACAACATGGGTGGGGTGGTGGGGGGGCGCGTGGTGGGAGAAAGAAAACCGGGGAGATAGTGAGGAAAAAGATCAGTCTGGAGACTGGTACAACTGGGTAAACACAAACATGGGCAGTGCGAAAGCACTGAACGAGGTAGAACTGATCATTTAAATTGCATTTGTTTCAATGCAACAGGCCTATCAGGTAAGGCAGATGAACTCAGGGCATGGCTGGGAGCATGGGACAGGGATGTCATAGCAATTTGAGATGTGGCTCACGTATGGACAGAACTGACAGCTTCATATTCAAGGGTACAGATGCCACAGGAAAGGGAGGCAAAAAGAGGAGGGGAAGTGGTGTTTTTTGACCAAGGATAACATTATGGCTGTACTTAGGGAAGATATTCCTGGAAATACGTCCAGGGAAATTATTTGGGTGGAACTGAGGAATAAGAAAGTGATGATCACCTTATTGGGATTGCAGTGTAGACCCCTTAATAGTCAGTGGGAAATTGAGGAACAAATTTGTAAGGAGATCTCAATTATCTGTATGAATAATAGGGTGGTTACAGTAGGGGGATTTTAATTTTCCAAAACAGATTGGAACTGCCATAGTCTTAAGGGCATAGATGGAGAGGAACTTATGTACAAAATTCTGATTCAGTATGTGCACATACCTATTAAAGAAGGTGCAAAACTTGACTTACCCTCGGGGTGGGGGAGCACTTTGGGGCCAGTGACCATAATTCTATTAGTTTTAAAAGTGATGGAAAAGGTTAGAGCAGATCTAAAAGTTAAACGTTCTTAATTGGAGGAAGGTCAATCTTGACGGTATTAGGCAAGAATTTTCAAAGTTATTGGGGTGGGTGTATGCAGGTAAAGGATGATTGGAAAATGGGAACCAGTGACAGTGTGTTCCTGTTAGGGTGAACAGCAAGGCTGGTAGGTGTAGTCTATGCTGGATGACTAGAGAAATTGAGGTTTTGGTCAAGAAAAAGAAGGAAGCATATGTCATGTATAGACAGAGATCAAGCAAACCCCGAAGAGTATAAAGGCAGTAGGAGTAGGCTTAAGAGGGAAATCAGGAGGGCAACAAGGGGACATAAAACAGCCTTGGCAAATAGGGTTAAGGAGAATTCAAAGGAATTTTATGAATACGTTAAGGACCAAAACAATAACTAGGGTGAGAATAGGACCCCTTAAAAATCAGCAGGGCTGCCTACCTGTGGAACCTCCGGAGATGGGGAAATTTTGCATCTTTGTTACTGTGGAGAAGGATATGGAAGATATAGAAATTGGGGAAATAGACAACATCTTGAAAAAATGTCCATATTAGAGAGGTGATGGTACTGGACATCTGAAAATTCATGAAGTTGGATAATTCCCCAAGATCTGATCATGTGAACCCAAGAACTCTGTGGGAAGCTAGGAAAGTGATTGCTGGGCCCCTTGCTGAGATATTTGTTTCATCGATAGCCACGGGCAAGGTGGTGAAAAACTGGAGGTTGGCTGATGTGGTGCCACTATTTAAGAAAGGTGGGAAGGAAAAGTCAGAGAACTATAGACCAGTAAGCCTGACATCATTGGTGGGCAAGTTGTTGGAGGGAATCCTGAAGGACAGGATTTACATGTATTTGGAAAGGCAAGGACTGATTAGGGATAGTCTACATGGCTTTGTGCATGGGAAGTCATGTCTCATGAACTTCATTGAGTTTTTTTGAAGTAGTAACAAAGAGCATTGACAAAGGCAGAGCAGTGGATGGGATATGGACTTCAGCAAGACGTTTGACAAGGTTTCTCATGGTAAACTTGTCAGCAAGGTTAGATGACCTGGAATACAAGGAGAACTAGCTATTTGGATACAGAATTAGCTCGAAGGTATAAGACAGAGGGTGGTGGTGGAGCATTGCTTTTCAGACTGGAGGCCTGTAACCAGTGGTGTGCCGCAAGGGTTGGTGCTAGGTCCACTGCTTTCTGTCACGTGTATAAATGATTTGGATGTGAATATAGGAGGTATGGTTAGTAAGTTTGCAGATGACAACAAATTGTAGGTGTAGTGGACAATGAAGAAGATTACCTCTGAGTACAACAGGATCTTGATTAGATGGACCAATGGGCCGAGAAGTGGCAGAGAGTTTAATTTAGATAGATGTGAGGTGCTGCATTTTGAGAAGACAAATCAGGACAGGACTGATACATTTCATGGTAAGGTCCTGGGGAGCGTTGCTAAACAAACAGACCTTGGAGTGCAGGTGCACAGGTCCTCAGAAGTAGAGGAAGGTAGATAGGATAGTGAAGGCAGCATTTGGTATGCTTGCCTTTATTAGACAATGCACTGAGTGAAGAAGTTGGGAGGTAATGTTGCAGCTGCACAGACGTTGGTTAGGGTACTTTTGGAATAGTGTGTAATTCTGGTCACCCTGCTATAGCGTGAACGTAGAGAAGCTTGAAAGGGTTCAGAAAAGATTTACAAGGGCGTTGTCAAGGGTTGGAGGGTTTGAGCTATAGGGAGAATCTGAACAGGCTGGGGGTATTTTCCCTGGAGCATTGAAGGCTGAGGTGTGACCTTATAGAGATTAATAAAATCATGAGGGGCATGAATAGGGTAAATAGACAAAAAGGTCTTTTCCCAAGGTTGCGGAGTGCAAAACGAGGGGGCATAGGTTGAAGGTGAGAGGGGAAATATTTAAAAGGGACCTAAGGGGCAACTCTTTCATGCAGAGGATGGTGCATGTATGGAATGAGCTGCCAGGGGAAGTGGTGGAGGCTGGTACAATTACAACATTTAAAAGGCATCTGGATGGGTACATGAATAGGAAAGGTTTAAAAAGGGATATGGACCGAATGCTGGCAAACAGAACTAGATTTATCTAGGTTATCTGGTGGACATGGATGAGTTGGACTCAAGGGTCTGTTTCCATGCTGTACATCTGACGACTCCATGACAAGGTTCAGTTATGGGCAACAATTCAGGGCATTAACTAATTAAATCATATCAAGTGCAACAATGTCTTGTCTCGTCTTACCTGAAACCGATAATTCCTGTACTTGCCATTGCATATGCCAGGCCTAGGATGCCACTTCCCATGATGGCATGCATTATGTTAAACACAGAGGAAGCAAAGGAAGCTCTTGCTGATTCATGGCGCTGTGTTGCCTGCATAATTAAAATCGCATTAAGTTTGAAATAATTACAGTGAAGTGTTTGACTTTTACGTGAACCCATAGTGCATCTAGTAGTATACAAAATAACTACAGCATATTCGTTCTAAATGAACAAAGCTTCTGCTGAAAGGTTGAGGGCTAAATAGGTGTTTTGCTGTATATAGATGCTGTCCAACTTGTGTATTTCAAATATTTTTCCATTTAATTTTTAAATAAACACTAACTTAATTGTTTTACCAAGGTGTTTTAAAAAATTTCATGCCTCATTGCATCAAATGGGCTAAAGAAATATTAGCTACAGAAGTGATTGAAGTACAATATACAACTAGGCATTGGCACTTGCACCACACATTGCCAAAATCAGTTTGGCGAGGGCTACAATGTACTTGACGAACAAGAGCCACTTGACCAAGCTACAGGATTTAAAGTTTCCTTACTGATTCACATCTACAGATGTAATTAGGATGGAAACTGTCTGTGGTGCTGGTAGATAGTTTCACTGCACATACGCATTCCCAGCCTTTACACTGAAATCAGGAAACCACTTTCAGCATATGCCGAGCTGTAGCTCAAGTGATTTGGATACGCTGTTACAGCATTACCACTGTGCTCTGTTACCTTTGTACCAAATATTGTACATATTAACAGGTGCCAGTCTTCATTGTAGAGTTTTACAATACTGTAACCCCTTTAGTTTTATGGATTCATAACCAACAAAAGCAATTTCAGTTGAAATAAACTGCCAAAACAACTGACTACAGAATGTGGATTTTGAACAAAGTTTTTCTAAAGCAACATGAAAAGGAATTTTTTTGAACAACTCAGTAGCAAGTATTGTATCTGCTGGCATTAGTACAACTGGCTATTTATCCTTGTTCATCTTCCTCAAAAAAAGACTTCTAGTTCAGTCATTACTTTCATTCTGCCCCCATCCTCAGTCAGTCAAAGACATTTCTTCCCTCTCCTTGCATCCGCAGGAATGTCAGAGAAGAAATCTTGAAGCAAGTGGAAATGCTTTACCTAAGTTTCTGGATTGCAGAAGATGCCAGAATATTCATGATACATTAAGCACTGATGAACCCTATCTTGCATGTACCATCAAGATCATTAGCTTTAGTCAAATGAAATAATTATGCATTGCTTCCATGCATACAAAAGTGACTAGATGGCCCTTAAATACTTCAGGATGCATCACATACTTACACATGGTAATACAGCTGCAGTATTATAAAAGAGGATAAATAGAAGGAAGAAAAAAAATCATTGTAAAATTAATAACTCAAGAAAGTGATTCATATTTAAGGAAACTTAACGTGCACATTGCTTTTGGACAAGCAGACAAAATAATCTGGATGTGACAAAGCTTGGAAACAGCTATTGGCAAGAAGTCTTAGTCATGATCAGCACGCAACTGTGAGAAAGACATTGAAATATATTAAGAAAAGAGTAGAATCAGAAACAATAATAGAAGGTGGTTATTTGGTCCATCACTGTTAGCCCTTCAAGGAAGGAGTGCAATGCAGATTCTGTAGATTCACTGTAAAGAGCTCAGTGGTTAGAGTATGAGATAGTCTACAAACTAGGCTGGTATTGCCTTGCACATAGAGGGTTAAGAGGGGTGCCTTGATTGAGGTTTAATGATTTAAAAAGGAATTGATAGGGTGAAGAGAGAAAATCTTGGGGCCACGACAAAATCTAGGACAAGAGGACATAACCTTAAAACTAGACCAGACTATTCAGGAGAGAGATGAAGAATCACTTCTATGGAGGGATGGTAAAAGTCTAAAACTTTATCCTACAAAAGAAAAGCAGTAGACACAAGCTCACAATAATTTTAAAATCTGAGAAACAGATTTTTACTGGACAAGAGGATTTAAAAAAGAGCCAAGTCACGATCTCATTAAACAGGATAATTTACTTAAAGGCTCAACGCCCTACCCCTGCTGCTGTCTTTAAAAAAAAAAGCTTGAAAAAAATGCAAAATAAAGCATGTAGAGTTTAGTTCTGTGGTCTACGAAAGTAAAAATATTATCCTAAAATAGTTGATTAGGATGCAGTATCGTTGTTTGGATGACCCATTTCAGAAAATTTGTTCATAGAGGACGTCAGGCTTAAGACACTGGGGCTTCAAATGGTCTTTTCATTAGATTAGAGGTTAACCTCCACTTGGTGTCCAAAAAAAAAACATAGGTGAGGTTATTGGTGAGAAAAGTGTTAAAACTGCCGCTTGGTGAACCACTAACTAGACCGGCACACTACAATGAGAAACAGAAAATGTCAGAAAAACTCTGCAAGTTTGCAGCCATTGTTGAGGGGGAAAATAGTATTAATGTTTTGGGTTCTCAACCCGAAGCATTAAGCTTTCACTCCAAAAACGATGCCTGACCGGAGTATTTCCAGCAGTTTGCTTTTATTTCAAATTTTCAAAAACATCTGGAGTAATCTGTTTATGTACCAGTACATCTTTACATCTAAAGAAGGTAATAAGTTTGTAAAGAAAAGTTCATAAAACTCATAGCTAAGCTTGGATCTTTGGTCATGAGGATGAGCTTTAATATTAAGAGTTATTTAGATTCAAGGGGACAAACTGAGTACGATTCTTAAAAATAATGAAAGGACAAGATTGAAGAATTTTGGATAATACACCCCAAAGATGACCCTCCTATCACTCCTTGCTCCAAGACACCTTTTATCCTGGAACCGATCATAATTTTGCCTCCCGAAACATCAAACAAGTTAATGGTAATTGGAGGGAGTTGAACAATATCACACTATGGTGCACCACTCATCTGCATCCAACTACCCAATTACTAACATGTCAAAAAGCTGCTACCATTAAAGATGCACTCAAGAGTCTCCAAGGATAAGATGTGGATTGTACGGGTGTTACTGAATGATGATGCTAATTTGGAAAATTGGGTTACAAAGTGAAAGGAGGTTGATTTGGAGAGACTACAAAAATCGTAATTTAATTGAGTTGGAGAACTGGGAATAGCAGACCGTGGTAGATGATGTCTAGGCTGAGAGTCATAGCTGATGTACAAAAAAAAAAGGGGAAAAGGCTTGGATTGGATGTGGAAGCCAGCACATTTTGTTGCATCTCCTGGTTCTGAAGTGTGGCAGTGGGAACGTACTGGAAAAACAGAAAAACCTGGGGATTTCACCACTGAAGGAGAGAGTTGTTTTCAGCACTGCATGAATGGGGACAGAGAATTTAGGATGCTCACAGAAGAATCAAGGGAGAAGGTAATATTAAGTTATTTTGCTGATACAACAAGTCTTAGGAAGACAAACAGAACGTTGTCATTTGTCACAAGGGTAATGGAATATAAAAGTACAGCACATAAGGCACTGGCAAGACCACATCTGGAGTAAAACAAAGCATGAGGTAGGCAATTTGGTCCATCAATTCTGCTCTGTCATTCAATCTCAACTCCATATTCCCACACTTTACCATTTATTTTGGAGTCTTTCATATCTAGAAAGCCCTCTCTTTCTTTAATATATTCAGTGACTCAGCCTCCACAGCCATGTGCTGTGAATGCCACACACCCTAGAGAAGAAACATTCCAAATAGCTACCCATTTCCTGAAAATATGATCCCTTGAGGGGAACAAAAGGAACAGGAGTTGACTGTTAGGCTTGCCCTACCACTCTAGATCAAAGCAGAGCAATGCCATGTTCCTGCCCACTCTCCATTTTCTTTGTTGTTAGTCTTGCTCAAAGATTGAACCTTCCTGCACTCTGGGAGAGATAATTCCAAAGACTAACCACTGAAAAGAATTCCTCCTGGTCTCAGGCTTAAATGGCTACCCTTATCCTGAGATTTTGGCCCCTGGCTCCAGAGACAAGCTACAGGATCCACCTCATGTATAGACACTCTAATGTCTTGCAAGAAAGAATTTTGAAAGTTTCAATAGGATTACCTTTCAGTCTTCAATACTTGAGAATACCATCTTAGGGATTAATCCGGTGAACACCCATTAGACTCAGTTTATAGCAAACATATCCTCTGAGATAAAGCAATCAAAAACAACACTCTAAGGGAGGTCTCATCACGACTCAAACTGCAGCAAGGCATATTTACTTTTGTACTAAAATTCTCTTGAAATGAATGCCAACATACCATTTTACATATATGCTCAAGTAATTAGAAAGTCAAATGGTAAGGCAAGTCAGTGATAATGTCACCTTGCTAAAGAAAAATCCACAGATCCAGCCTGAAGGTCTGGGGTCATGGGTTCAATCCCACTATGGCAGCTGGTGAAATTTTAATTCACCAGTCTAGAATCTAATAATTGACAATGATTGAATGGTAGTTATCAAAAACACATCTAGATCATTAATGGCCTTTCAGGACAGCAGATTCCCTTTCCTTCATGCGACTCCAGGCCTACTGCAATATCGTTTACTTATTTGCCCACTGAAATGAGTGAGGAAGCCATTCAGTTCAATGGCAATTAGGAATGGGCAAATGCCAGCAATGCCCACATTCCATGCCAGATTTCAAACGCTCGCTTTTAGTAACTCATAATTAAAAGACATCCAGATCCCTTAAACACCTACACTTCCCAACCTCTCCGCCCCTGCCTCCACATTAATGAACTTTATAGCTGTGCAGTGCAGGAGGTAAACTAAACACTTTCACCTAATTTGCTGATCAGCTACCCTCCAGCAGAGCTCACTTACCCCAAGGCCAGAAGAACCTTGTTTTACTTATTAGCGTAGTGGAAAGTTAATGTGAGCTACAGACCATACTTTTAGAAAGATTTTGATAACTCACCAAATAACTGTTAGATCATGCACCACACCCCCACCCCCTCCAAGAAAGAGGGAGCATCATTCCTGCAGTGTCAGAAATTTATACATTTCCCTCATTATTCTAAAGAAACTTTAAACACTCTAAAGGGTCAAATGACAGACTGCAGCTCCCAATTTCTATGTTACTAAAAGGCAGGCCTTTTCATCATGCACTAATAAGCGATGGGCTGTTTCACCACAAACAGCTGACAGAAACTTAATCATTTAAAAAAAAAAGGAAACAAATATTTTAAAAGAGGAACATAAAAGGATCAGCAAAATTAGGATACAGAAGACAGTGCCAAAACTGACACAAGAGGCAGAATTGTCTAGTCTTATGCCATAATTTGTCATTCTGTTAGAAATGTTTCTTTAGAATTAAGCACAGGAAGCTTTTAGAAGATCGGGTGCAGAATTAGCATTTGGACAACATGCCTGCTGCCCTTTACACAATCCCTTGATTTTGATTAAATAGGTCAGTGTTGAAATTTTCATACATGTGGGATCAAATGCAAATTGGTCAGATCGAAGCTGCCACCTGTACATAATCTACAAAGGCAAAGGAGATGGAGAGAAAGATCAGACCTATTTAAATAAAGGTACACTAAGTAGCATGATAGAGCAATGCAGGAAATCATTGCTGTAGTTACAGAAGCTTGTCAGTCTATAAAATATGAAATATAAACTCAATTGTAAAAGTCAATGCCATCACATGATCTGACATCATGTGATTAAGGAATGTTTCAGAACCAAAGCTATTTGCAATTCCAAGCACAAAACAGAAGTTGCTGGAAAAGCTCAGCAGGCCTAGCAGCATCTAAGAAGAAAAAAAAAAAATCGAGTTAACGCTTCGGGTCCGGTTCGGAGGAAGGGTCACCGAACCGAAACGTTAACTGATTGTTTTTCCCTTCATAGATGCTGCCAGGCCTGCCGAGCTTTTCCGGCAACTTGTTTTTGTGCCTGATTTACAGCATCCGCAGTTCTTTCGGTTTTATTTTATAATTCCACGCATTTGCCAAGAGTTGAGAGAAGTCTTAGATGCTGTTAGGAATCCTCATCGGCACACCTTCATACACTAAGTATAGGCTCCCAAGTTTTTATATCAGATTTACCACTTTACAAATTCATGCCGACTTGTTTTGATCATCAACTATTTATCCTAGTGCTCATACACCCTGCCCTTGTTAAAATAATTGTAACAACTTGCCTACAACCTGTCACGCTTAATGTGCAGGTTCTCCACTTCGTTCTCCCCTCCACCCACCAATTTCTCAACTAGTACAACATTCATTCTCTTTCAGTTCTCTCTTATCCCCTTCATAAGGGGATGGCCCTCCAGGCTCAACAGTGAATGTCGATAAATAAACAAGTCAGTGTAGAGCTGGATGAACACAGCAGGCCAAACAGCAGAGGAGCAGGAAAGTTGACGTTTCGGGTCGGGACCCTTCTTCTGCTGTGCTCCTCCAGGTCCACACTTATCTCTGACTCCAGCATCGGCAGTTCTTACTATCTCAAAGTGAGCTTCAAGCCACAGCTTCATCTCACGTTAATCTCAGTCGAAAAGACACTGAGGCTTGACCACCGATCCCTAGCATACACTATACTCTCCGGACACAGTACAATGACTCTATACTGCCACATTAAATAGACTCACATCTCTCGGCACCAAAGCTGACTCGTCATCCTTCCAACTCTCAGTCCATTCCTCACTCATCATCCCGGTCACCACCGCCAGCACTCTCCCCCAATTTCCCAGAACAACTCCACCCCCGCCAACACGTGACCAACAACCAGCGCCCGCACTTGTCAATGACGCAGCCGCCACTTGCGCGCTTTTTGATGACGAAAAAGCCCCGGACCCCATTCCCTCCCCCTCCCGCTGGAAGTCGTTATGAGGTGAGCGCGTGTGCAGGAGAGGTGAGCGCGTGTGCAGGAGAGGCGCGTGTGGTCGGAGGGCAGCGTCTCTTAGCAACCCACAGGCAGCCTCGACCCTCCCTGAGGCCGGGGTTTGGGGTTGGCGTTGGCGGGCTCCTCCACTCTGAGGGGTTGGGTGCTGCCTTCTGGTCTGGCGGAGAGTGGGTGAGAAGTAGCCTCCAGTCTCGAGGTGGGGTGGAGCTGAAGGGGAGGCTTCCATCGGAGGGAGATCCACTCTGAAGCGGTGAGGGAGAGGGTCCAATCCAATGTGAAGGGGAGGCTCCAGACTGAGGGGTAGGTTCTGAGGTGGAGGCTGCAGTCTGAGGGGACTGGTTGAAGATCCCTTTCGGGACCTTACAGGAGAAAGGGATGAGAATAAATCACAGGCAGTGACAGCACTACCCACACAATTATAGCCGTACAGTGTGCGCCATTGGTAGAGAAATAGACTGCTCTTTTTCATGTACTTTCATGCTACCACTTATCATCCACTCAGGGGAGGGCGATGGCCTAGTGGTATTGCTAGACTGTTAATCCAGAGACCTAATGTCCTAGGGACTGGGGTTTGAATCCTGCCACAGCAGATGGTGGAATTGGAATTCAATAAAAATCTGAAGAGTGTCAGGGTGACCATGATGCCAATTGTTGAAAAAACTCATTGGTTCACTTTTGTCATTTAGGGACGGAAAGTACCAGACCAGGTAAAGATCCTGTGACTCCAGGCCCCACAGTTCCTCTCTGGGCAATTAGGGATTGGCCAGCAATGTCCTAAACCTGTGAATGAATAATATGCTGTACATCTGTGGTAATGCAGCTTTTCTGATTGAACTGGTTAATGGATTCCAGGATATTGAGCCCCAAACTGAGACAGTAGCACAAAGCTATGCCTAATTTAGCACTGAACTGGCAAAACCACTGGAATAGGAACTTATTATCAGATCAACGCAGTCAAATACTTTTCTGAATTTAGTCATAGGCCACAAGTGTAGCGGTAACTTTGTAACTGGCTGTGCTAAATGACCTTGGGTTACTTGATGCTGTTACGAAACAGTAATAGGAAAGGGTTCAAATTTAGTTGCTAACTTTTTTATTTTCCAATGAATACTCAACTAGGTAGCTAATTGACATTAGAGTCTGTTCATAGCGCATCTTACAGGATGCTATATTTGAAAATTGTGAACAGTTAAAGTATCAGTCCCTCGTGGTAACTTAAATGGCAGGTGGAAATTAGTACAAAACTCTCAAATATGGAAAAGACTGATTTTGAAAATAATTATATCAGTAGCTCAAACAAGGTGTTATAGTTGAATCTGAGATTTATTTGTCCAAGAGGTATCAGTGTAACTGCTGAATTAAGTAAAAGCATTTCTTTGCAGTTTGAATTTTGCCTCCAACTCCTTGTTTCTTCAGAGTCTCACAGGAGATAATTGTATTAAACAGCTTTTGTTTGCTGAACTTGAAACGGTGCAGAAAAGATTTACAGGGATGTTGCCAGGGTTGGAGGGTTTCAGCTATAGGGAGAGGCTGAATAGGCTGGGGCTATTTTCCCTGGAGTGGCGGAGATTGAGGGGTGACCTTATAGAGGTTTATAAAATCATGATGGGCATGGATAGGCTGAATAGCCAAGGTCTTTTTCCCAGGATAGGCGAGTCCAAAATAGAGGGGATAGGTTTAAGGTGAGAGGGGAAACATATGGAAGGGACCTAAGGGGTAACGTTTTCACTCAGAGGGAGTGAGATGCCAGAGGATGTGATGGAAGCTGCTACAATTACAACATTTTAAAGGCATCTGGATGGGTACGTGAATAGGAAGGGTTTAGAGGGATATGGGCCAAATGCTGGCAAGTGGGACTAGATTAATTTAGGATATCTGGTCGACATGGACAAGTTTGACCGAAGGGTCTGTTTCTGTGCTGTCTATGTTTTAAATATTTAACTGAATTTTAGTATTTAAATCTCAACTAACTGCAGCTGGATTATACAGTTTACATAGTGGTCCAGAACAGAATTATTCTCTAACTTGGAACTGTAGAATCTAATTGATATTAATTCAAACCCTGGTTACCTTCATTAATTACAAAGGGAAGATGTAAAAATATGCTGGAATGCTCAACACCCAATACATCATCTGTGGAGACAGAAACAGTTAATATTTCAAGGAAAAGATCTTTTGTCCGAACAGTAAAAGTCAGAGATATAACAGCTTTCAAATAAGTATGGAAGCAGTGAAAAGGGCAGGTCTGGTTAGGGTAAATGCGAAAGAGATTAAATTACAAAATCAGGTAATAACAGGACAAGATTAGAGGCTCTGGTGAAGTGAATTGAGATGTTTGGCAAAGTGATCCTCCAATCTCAGTTTTTGACTCCCCACCATAGAGAAAACTGCATTGTTACCGACATATACAGTATAAATTGCAGCAATTAGAAATGAATCATTGTTTTGCCTGGAAGGAATGTTTGGGCCCGGAGCAGTGGGAGATAGGAGGTGAAAGAACTGATCTGGAACTGCACTTAGTGGGGGAAAGTGCTCTGGAGGTGTTGGGGGTGATGGAAGAATGGCCCCATTGTCCTGGACCGACCTGTTTCTTCAGAAGTTTGAAAGGGGACAAATGTAGCAGCATCATGCTGGAAGTGGCTGAAATGACAGAGGATAATCCATCAAGCATGGGATTGAGGACTGGAGGATGAGGACAAGGGGTATTCGATGAAGATGCTGTCTGCAAAAGAAAGAGGTGAGGACGTAAGTGTGAGAAAGGAAATCAAAACGTTTGGTAGTCCTCTTGAGACCAATTGGAGGGGGAATCTTCAGGTGGGGAAAAGAAGACAGAATGGAAGTACTGGTATGGAGGGTAAACATAGACATAGAAACTAGTGGGAGTAGGTCATTCAGCTCTTCGAAATCGTGCTCCACCATTCAGTATGAACATGGCTGATCCTCTATCTACATACCATATTCCCACTTCCTGTATCCCTCGATGCTTTAACATCAAAAAGTTCATCTGTCTCTAACTTGAATAAATTCAGTGACTTGGCCTCCACAACCTTTTGTGGTAGAGAGTTTCACAGATTGTCTGACTATCATTTGAGTGAACAAAGATTTCCTAATCTTGGCCTTAATCTTCGTCTACCTGTATCCTGAGACTGTGTCCCATGGTTTTAGCCACCCTAACCAGGGCAAACATCCTGCATCTAGTCTGTCCAGCCTTTTTAGAATTTTAGATATTGCAATCAGATCCCTTCTCATTCTTCTAAACTCTAGTGAATACAGGCCCAGTCAAGCCAATTTCTCCTCATAGGAGAGTCCTGCCATCCCCATTATCAGCCTAGTAAACCTCTGCTGCACTCCCTCTATGGTAAGTGTATCCTTTCTTAAGTAGGAAGGCCAAAAATATTAGCATTGGCAGGATTATTGGAGCAGATATGATGGAGACATAGAGACTAAAAGTATGAAATAGATTGGTATTGATCTATAAATATAATTTTCAAAATTGTTACCTTGTCCATTCTACTTTTTGTACTTCGTTTGTTATCCTTCACTGCAATTTAAATAGCCGAGATAGTTCTCAACTAATAGAACCGTATAAGATCAAAAACTGAAATTGCTGGAAAAGCTCAGCAGGTCTGGCAGTGTCTGTGAAGAAAAAGTCAGAGTTAACATTTCGGGTCGGGTGACTCTTCCTCAGAATTCAAGCTGGGAAGACATGGGTTTATATTGGAAAAAATAGGAACGGGGATGGGGAAGGGCACAAACAATAAGATAAAGGATAGAGCCTGAAGAGGGAGAAGAGCAGTTGGATAGACAAAGGAGTTGATAACGATCTGGCTAGGAGGGTGAATAGCTGGTCATCGGGACTATTAGTGACTAACAATAGGTAGTGTGTAATGGCAGACTATGTGAAAACAAGACCTGGCGTGTGGGGTTGTGGGGTAGAGGGCTGGGACATAGAAGAGTTTAGGCCATAAAATTATTGAACTCTGTGTGGAGTCCGGAGGGCCGCAGGGTCCCCAAGCGGAAAATGAGGTGGTGTTCTTCCAGCTTGCGTTGAGGTTCACTGGAACGCTGCAGCAAGCCAGAGACAGAGATGTTAGCCAGGGAATAGGGTGGTGTGTTAAAGTGGTAGGCAACAGGTAGCTCAGGGTCTTTTCTGTAAGCAGAACGTAGATGTTCTGCGAAGTGGTCACCCAATCTACGCTTTGTTTCCCCAATGTAGAGGAGGTCACATTGTGAGCAGCGAATGCAGTAGACTAGATTCTGGGAAGTGCAGGGTGTCCAGGAGGGAACGATCTCTGCGGAAGGCAGACAAGGGAGGGGAGGGGAATAAGTGTCTGATGGTGGCATCTTGCTAGAGGTGGCGGAAATGGCATCTGATGATCTTCTGGATGTGGATGCTGGTAAGGACAAGGGGAACCCTATCGCTGTTACGGGAGGGAGGGGAGGGCGGAAGTGTGGGAGATCGGTCGGACCCGGTTGAGGGCCCTGTTGACAACGGTGCTGGGAAATCCTCAGTTGAGGAAGAAGGTGGACATTTCGGAGGCTTCCTTGTCGAAGTTGGCCTCACAACCCCATAAGATATTGTGAAGTGAATACAGTACGCCAAACCTTACCTTACAGGACACTATTGGCTGAACATTAATTGGTGTACAAACAAACCATCAAGGTGGAAATAAGTGGGCTTATAGTGGATATTAGTTAACAACCTATCCCCAGAAATAGAAACAGAAAAGTTGCAATGGTGAGAGGCTGAAATGAACAATGTGCAGATGAGAGTGGGAAAGAAATGAGAAACAAAGTTGATGAGAATTTTCAGTTTGAAGCTAGGAAAGGTAGTAACACCAATATAGCCATCGATTTACTGGAAAAGGAGGCAAGGGAGGGAATCCGAATGGAACTGAAACAAGAAATGTTTTCACACATCCTATAATTAGGCAAAAATACAATGAACCACATGCGTTCCCAAAGCAACACCACTTGAAGCATCTCCAGATATCAGCAGAAACTCAAAATCCTAAATGCATTCTTACAGACTTTCCACCTCTTGTAGTAATTATTAGACCTTATCATGGAAAATTTCTTTGTTATCAGTATCTCTCAGAGTCTGGCGTAACTAAATTTTAAAAGTCAATTAAGCCTAAGTGACTTAGTGATAAGTGATTGATAGGCTTCTTATCGAAATCAATATCAAGGCATGTAACTGAATCATTACTGCATTGCTAACTGATTGGTGTTCACTCTTTTCCAATTTAGGATTCTTCTTTTCTTTACCAAGTCTTGGGCAAATACAGTATTAAGTGTGTCCACTAAAAAATTGGCAACAAGGCAACAACTTCATTTTACTTCAGCACTACCTCAATATTTTTCCAGCCATTGCATTTCCAAAGGTTTTGTTACTGAACTGGACACGATGTCAGCATATAACCCTGAAGAGGATGTCAATCTTTACACTCCTCCCACAACAGTGCGTGGAATTACTGAGCTGAACAGAGATTTATTTAGAAAGAATGTAGCTCTTCCAGCGCTGAAGGTGAAAAAGGACATAGTGAACAAAATCATGAAATCTTTGAAAAATTCAGCATTGAAAAGACCTGGGCTAAAGCGTGTGATTGAAGACTCTAAAGATGAAATGTATAGGTTTATTTTATTGGACCCGTGTAAAATATCATGCACAGAATCTTTTCAGGCTTCCGAGAAGGCTGTTCTAAAAGAATATAATGTTGACCTTCAGATTCACATGTATCATTTAGAAATGACTTATGAACATTTCAAACCTGAAGAGATTCTAAAGGCAATTTTGCCTGAAGGGCAGGATGTAACCTCTGGATTTAGTAGAGTGGGCCATATTGTTCACATGAACCTTCGCGATCATCAGCTTCCGTACAAGTATTTGATCGGTAAGGTCTGAATTTTGTGCTTCTAGATTTGGTTTAAAGTTCGTTTAAGGGCAGTATATTATATTCTTTCTTAATAAAGCTGATGATACTGGATTAATAATATCCAATTAAATAGACATGTTTTGAAAGTTAACTTGTTATGTTTAGATCAGATCACATAGTTTGGAGAAGCTGTGTTTGTTCCCTTTAGACAAGATAAGATTAAGAAGAGATTTGATAGAAGTACTTAAAGCCATAAGAAGTCTATACTAAATAGATCCTGTCCCTACTGCTAGAAGGAATGAGAATCATAAGATGCAAATTTAAAGTAAGTGGCAAAAGAACTAATTGTGACATGAAGAAAAACATTTTTATGCAGTGAGTGATCATAATTTGGAATGCTCTGCCTAAGTGTATAGTGGAGGGAGACTTAATTCTGGCATTCATAATGGAATTGGACAGCACTTGAAGGAAATGAATTATAGAGACATGGAAAGGGTAGACCTAGCTGAATTGCTCTTGCAGAGAGCCTGCACAAGTTCAGTGGGCTGAATGGATTCTTTCAGTAAAGCTAATATCAATTTATTACAAGTATTTAGGTGTAATTTGAAATCCTAACCAATAGCATTTTTTTTTAAAATTTCAAGTTTTTAAGTAATGGTCTCGCAGCTCAGGGCTCTTGTGCTTTTCCAAAGAATACACACTAATCTGAAACACAAGAATGCACCAAACCTTGTTCTGCGTTATTGTACTTTCAAAGACATAATCACTAATCTTGTTTCTTAGGCCAAGTTATAATGGATAAGAATCCTGGAGTAACTTCGGTGGTTAATAAAACCAATATTATTGACAACACTTACCGTAATTTTCAGATGGAAGTACTAGCTGGGGAAGACAATATGATAACAAAGGTAAAATTTTCAAATTTCACTACAGTTTTCTGTGTTCTCGGGTCATTTTTCCTTGAAACTGCTCTATCTCTATTACTTACATCCACTGAATAAGTTTTGAACTTTCCAAGTAACAATCCAGGAGTAAAATATACTCCCTAGGATCATAGTTTAAAAGCATCTGAGTATTTTTAATAAACACTTCAGAAGTTTTGGAAGACGAATGACTGCCAGTCCTGAGAGAAGCTTGGTTTTTGAGGAATGTAAAATGAAATGCCTTTGTGCACATAACATAGATTGACAAAGTATCACCAGTCCAAATAGAAACACAACAGTTATGGTGATAAACATCTTACTTCTGCCATTGGATATCAAACGCAAATGAAATCCGGAGTTAGCGTTATTGAAGAGAAGGAAGGCAAAAAGCATGCTTCTTGGGATTTAAAGCAATTATTTAAGAAATAAAATAATTAATTGGTGGAAGGGTGTTAATGAGAGAAGGTACATATAATATTCTTGTTGTATAATAATATTATCAAAGCTTAAAATTATAGAATTGCTGTGGCAAGTTGCATATGTGCTCATCTACATTGCTGAGCTTGTAGAGAGTACTCTCTGTAATGGCATTGCTGAACCTGTGGGAATACTCTGTACCATGGTAATTTTAAAAATAGATGTTCTGTTTTATTTTTAGAAAAATAATGTCAATTAATGTACAAAATATGCTGATCAATAGAACCCTATTGAGAATGGTAAAACAGGATATCTTTGCAGTTCAATTTCAATTGTATAAGTTTAACAATGTCCATGATTTATCTATTAAATATCCTTAAATAACTAATTTTAATTAATTTGTGTTTTGATAGGTCAAAGAGAACAACATAACATATGAATTTGATTTTTCCAAAGTCTATTGGAATCCTCGGCTCAGTACAGAACATAGTCGAATAGTTGGCCTCCTGAACTCTGGAGATCTAGTGTATGATGTGTTTGCTGGTGTAGGACCTTTTGCTATTCCAGCAGCAAAGAAAAACTGCAGAGTCATGGCAAATGATTTGAACCCAGAGTCATACAAGTGGCTAGTCCACAACTGCAAGTTGAACAAAGTTGATAATAAAGTACAGTCATTCAACATGGATGGCAGGAACTTTTTATTGGGTCCAGTTAAAGAGGATTTTATAAAACAAGTCGAAATACTTTCATCAAAAGAGAACAAAACCTCTATTCATATAATTATGAATCTGCCTGGTTTGGCTATTGAATTCTTGGATGTCTTCAGACAACTCTTTGAGAAGCAAAACTTAGTTAACGCTTTACCCACAGTCCACTGCTATAGTTTTTCCAAGTCTAATGAACCTGCCAAAGATATTCAGAGAAGAGCGGAGGATTTCCTAAGAACATCCCTAGAGGGACGGTGCTCTATCCATTTGGTTCGGAATGTGGCTCCAAACAAGGAAATGTTGTGTATAAGTTTTAAAGTTCCTGCTGAGGTGCTGTGCAAAAATTACTTTGCAGAAAGAGGTCAGTATTTCAGTTGTAATACTTGCTCTAACAATGACACATCATCATCTTTACTGCTTCTAGTATGTTTATCTTTATTCCTGAAAAAAAGGCCGTAGTTGAAACATGTTGAACTCAGCCATTTATACCAGATAGAGTAAAGCACTCAATGAAACAGTGTACTGAAAGAAGGTATTGTTATAAGCTCAGAATTTAAAGATATATGCACGTAGAGCAGTACCAGCTATATCTTTGTGACCCTAGCACCTTATGTTTTTGGATGTTCTGTAACTGCCCAAAATTGATAGCCTATGTAAAATAAGAGGCTTAAAACAAGAATCTCTGATTGGGTCTCTTCACTTAACTTACATTATTGCTAACTACTACTCGACCAGCTAAGTCTGAACCTGGTCAATGTTCTTGTAGCGTTCTGATTGAAGATTTGAGTGATGAACTGTGAGTTGTCTCCTCTTATTTCCCTCTGTTTGCAAGCAGAAAGGAACAGAGAAATATTTAGCACTTCCAAGAATTTCAATTTTGTCTCATCATTACTTGCATTGATTAATTTTCTAAAATGTTCAGCAGTTCTAACCTGTCTTGACATTCAAACATACCAATAAATGTTCACTAATAATGAGTCAAGATTTTGTTCACCACGTATTGATAAATTATCTCAAAAAATCTTAAATGTACTGATGTCAAAGGTAAATGAAATTGAACCATATCCAATTTTGAACAATTGAAATCTTGCTTT